AAGTGGTGGCAAAGCACTCATACCTCGACATCCAAACATCAGTCCAAACGTGAAAATTCCAAATCGAGTCGGAGTTCACATCAGATATGGGTTCGCCTTCACGAGTGAAAAACTTGTCGACAGTGAGGCTGTCGTCAGTGTCGTGGGCCGACACAAAGTTGGTGATAGTGCGGGCCGGTATGCCCAGTGCCCGGCTCATGGTGGTGGTCGAGCCGGCAAACACCCAACACTGACCAAACTTTATGGGCTCGCCGTTGGTGCGCAAGTACTGCTCGAAGATGGGCGCACTGCCCGTCCACTGCCAGGGAGCGTTGCCATCGTTGTAATTGCCCGACCAGTTGCCCACCAGTAGGCCGTTGTCGTCGTGACTGTTGACCATCGCGGCCACAGATCGGACCACTTTGACCGGATTAGCCCGAGCCGTGTAGTCCAGTCGTGTCTTATCCATCATAAACATTACGGCCGGAAGTACTGAATCTGCGAACTAATAGCCAATTGATCATCAATTATTGGGTTTATATTGAATGCCATTTAAGTTAATTGATTTTTAATACTTTGTCATAAATGAAAATGTAATTATCGTATTAAATCCCAATTAAATAATTAAATATTTAAACAAATTCTAACTCAATATCACTTTCAAGAACAGAGTATTCATTGTCTTTGAAAAGAGATTATAATAAATTGCATTTAATTATTGTTTTCATGAATTTTTTTATAACTTTTACTAATCCGAAATTAAAACTACTTATTTTAAAAAGTTAAAAGTAATTTTAAAATGCAAAACACATTAACTTAGAAATAAATTTACTTTTTAATCAGTTACAAGTTGATAGCTGTTAACATGTACTGTATTATATATGCATTTATTTCAAAAACTAATTTTAGTTTTTTTTATACAAATTCACAGCTAGTTTAAAAGTTTACTAATGATATTCACTTAATGAACTATTAAAATTATCAATTAAATTGTAGCACATTAATTTTTTAATAAAACATATGACATACCTGTCCATAAACCCATTGTCTACCCTTAGGCTTGGAATGGGATCCGATATATATTTTTCCGATATCATTGAGCACATACTCCCGTCGTTTGGCGTCATCCGGCAGAAATACGCCGTCGTCTTTGAATTAAAAATAAATAAAATAATAAATTATTATAAAATACTTTTGTATTGAATCGAAAGTAAATATTAAATTCATTTAATGAGAAAAATGTTAAGGAAACAAATTGTTTACGTTTTAGTTATTTAATCTTATAAAACTAAAAGTACGTTAACGTATCCACAAGTTTGCGAAATTACATAAGCTTTAAATCCTGTCATAAGTTTTTCGTAATATGTTTTTCGGCGAAAACAACAGTTATTTAATATAATAGTTTGAGTTGAATGGCTAATAAAATGCATGATTAATACCTTTATTCCAGGGATTGAAGAGAACATAAATGTTTTCCTTGACTTCAAAGGATCTGATATTTCTGGATCCCTGCTGTTTGGTGCTGACCCGTAACCGCCAGATGCCANAAGAGAACATAAATGTTTTCCTTGACTTCAAAGGATCTGATATTTCTGGATCCCTGCTGTTTGGTGCTGACCCGTAACCGCCAGATGCCAACGGCCACATTGGCCGGGATGTGCACGTGAACTGTCAATTGGTTGCCCTCGATGTGATGGGTGCGGGCGTCCCATTTGGTCGAGTCTTTGGTAAAGTCTTTATTGTTAGAAATGGGTAGATATATGAGAGTTCCCTTTCCTATCTGCGGACGCGCACCTGTATTTCATAGACAGACAGATAAGTTGATTACACAATAGATATTTCTCCAATGAATAATATCTGTGAAACTTGTATTAAAATTTATTTATTTATTAATCTCAAAAACTTTTTAAATCTGAAAAAACACATTTACGATATGCTTATATATCGTGACATTGAATACTAAATTTTGAACAATAAATTTGGGATAAACTTTTTAACTGATTTTTTCTTGCATTAGATTTCATCACATTTTTTGAACTGAATTTTAAATTAAATTCTTGTTTTTTAATGAGATTTTCAAAATGCATGTAATTGTAAACTGATTGTAAATAATGTGTATAATATATGACATACCAAACATGAATTCAAGTCTAATTTTGTCTCTACTTTGGTCGTACTGTCCGTTAAGTCGAAGTGCGATATAAAAGGGATCTCCTCTTCGGTAAACTGATTGTAAATAATGTGTATAATATATGACATACCAAACATGAATTCAAGTCTAATTTTGTCTCTACTTTGGTCGTACTGTCCGTTAAGTCGAAGTGCGATATAAAAGGGATCTCCTCTTCGGATAACAAGCGATGGGTTAATATTATTGACGATTTCGTATTGAGATGTTTGATGTGTTTTTGCGTTATCTCTGGGAAACAGCTCAACGCTAACCACTTCATTGGGCGCCGGACCAGCTGTTGATCCATGAAAGCAAAAGTTTGTTAACAAATCATTAGCAGTGTATTCATGAATTGTAAATCAATTGTCTATGAAATGCACAAAAATGTGTTCAATATGTATGAGAATATGCGGGAAATGTTTGGTGCGAAAGGAGTTATTTGGCGATTAAAGTCAAAAACATTAATGAAATGGAGATTTTCAATAATAATTCAAATGTCAATCATTTATTTGGCGAATAATAGAGCTCTGGTTCTGAAGGGAATCAAACAAATGTATAGTTTTTTGTAAGTTTTTTCATGCAATCATTAAAACATGAATTCCCGTCAAACGACTTTCACTTCATATCAATAGAGTATCGCAAAAAGGGTTCGTCAGCTCTAATGCACTGAATTAATAGTTAGCTATAATATAAACTTACAAAAGTTGTGGTGTTTTTCAAATCCTTTTTTAGTTTATTCTTAACAATAATGTCATTACTATGAGTAGGAGCCGTAAAACCAGATTTGTTTAACAGTGTGTTTTTGTGAGCTTTTTATTTTTAAGAGAAAGTAAATGAGGGATCAAATGAGTGTTTTTCACTATCATATCGTGTTATTTAAATATACTCAATGTTTTACGATTCAATTCCAATAATACTGTAATAATAATCATAATTCTTTAACTTATATTTAAATCTTTGGCTACAAATAAGGAGTCGTCGAACTCCACAACCCCTTAAGCCTCTCATAACAACTGTCCATAAAAATCATAAAAATCTCATACATATCATACATATATAACAAATATTTCTCTCAAATGCCAATAAATTTAGACGAAAAGCGTTTTAAAGAATGAATTTTAAATACAGGGAAAGCGATATATCCTCATTTGTATTCATGTTAAACATTTCGTATAGAAAAACATATCTTATTTGTAATAAATATGATTTGAATTGATTTTTCTCTTTCATCGAAGACACCCTTCAGGAAGAAAAGTGTCGATTAAATCATACGTTTATTACAATGCTTTGGAAAAGTGTTGTGAAAACAAGAAAAGAAATAAATAAAAGTTAAATAGTTATTAAAATAGAGTTCAATAAAAAGGCACACATCATGTTATTTGCCGTATGTATGTAAATATAGTTTTCCCCACTTTTTACAAAACTAATTGTTATAAAGATTTATAACGGGACCGTAATATGTGTTAAAATAGGCACTAATAGCTTTACAAACAAATTTCGAGTTCAAAGTATACCTGAAAAGCACACTTTTCTACTTCATATTCATATATCGTTTTATTTGTTTCTCACAATAAATTGATCTCGACTTAAAAGACCAGAAAAAAGATTTAAGCGAAAAACAACTTGAAATGAGAACAATTGAAACTCGAATTTCTTGAAAGACAAACACAACAACAAATACTACATAAAATACTAATAATCATAAAAATGTAGAAAACATGAAAGTCTTACCAACGGGTGAATTATGAATGAGTTCTTTATGAAAGAGAGGATAATGTGGATAACGATATGGCACTCGAAAGGCATGACTCGTATTTGGGAAGAGAAATAAATTAATAAATAGCAGTGAATAGGAAAATAACACAGAATTTCGCCAATTATGCATCGATTTTGTATTTGATGATGTTTTCGCCGACTTTTCACAGTTAGGTCTCTGTTGTGGTGAAGATCTAAAGACTAGTTTCGGCCAATTGGCCACAAACACGGCACTGGTAGACGAGCACCAACTAATCCACTCATAGTCACACATTGCAGTCTATGGGGGCAACACTATATTTAGCAGGCTTATTTTGAGTTATGCGAGTTTTGTAGCAAAAGTTTTTTGTGATCACTTTTTGTGGTCAACAATTGAAATAAATATTACGGAAAAAAGTTTTTTGTTGTTAAATGATAACTGTGTGACCAAAAAGTGAAAACATAACACTTTATATGATGTGCGGACACCACGAAAGGCACAGCGAGACTGAGACACAGCAACAACAGGTTGTTTGTGGAGTTTCTGTAGTGTTTGTAGAAGTTTTAGTGGCAGTGGAGGCACAGGTACTCTCAAGTCAAGAGCGAAAGTGAATGGGGAAGGACGACAAAAAGTAGGCAGTAGTATATCAGCTGGTTTTGCATTCAATTCATTGCGTAATCCACGGGCTCTTCAACACATCTGAACACAACTGAGACATTAAACTATTAAACCGGCGATCAATTGAAATGCCATTTCAAAAGCTCTCACTTAAGGGATAAGGGATGGACTCATTCCCATCCATGGACAGGTATTCCAGCAGAATTTCTATTTTTACACTACTCTCCCCTCCCCTCCCCGACTATCTCTCCCTTTCCATCTTTCTGACGACCGTTTTTACTGACCCTCTCATTGAATGTTTAAATGAATTAATTATTTGACGAAACAATTGGTGTGTTTGATGTGATTAATGAAAAACACAAATTTTTGTGATTTGATAAATGGTCGACAGTTACATGTTTTTGTCTATTAGCGATAGAATTCATTGATTTTGAATTTATGAAAAACAGAATCAATGTTAACATTTGTTAACAATATTTGAAATTAAAAACTAAGAAATTTTTTGGGAAATATTTAGCAAACTAATAAGTCATTTTATACTAATTCTCACAAAACATAGCATTTTCTGTCGTTTTTGAACAAACGTTAGAAAGTTATTGAGAGAAAAGTTTTCGTTGAATAAATACAATAGAAATAATTGGGAGACAAAAGAGGAGATAAAACTTATTATTTATATTTTTCTGTTGATTGGCCTCATTTTGGTCACAATTTTCATTAATAAAACCCTTTCTCTCATTTGGAAACAAAATTTTCATTTTAAAATCATTTTCGTTTCGTAAAAATTAAATTCAAAATATAATGAATGAAGAAAAATTAAAAAAGAAAATGCGATTCTTTGATAAAAATATATTTTCTGTTTAAAAACATCTCTCTTCTGTTCAAAATGAATGGAAAATTAGTGATAAAAAGAGAAATTAATTATATTTGAGAATAGAGTGTGTGAATGAGAGAGAGAGAGAGAGAGAGAGAGAGAGAGAGATTTTCTTAGAGAAGGTAACGAAGAGAACAGAAAATAAAACACTGATTACTGATGTGTTGTTGAATTTAATCGTCAAATTAAAATGGTTTATAAAATCAATTATAAAAAGACCTTTTCTCAACTGAATTCTAGTTTGTAGTGATCATTTGTCGGTCAAGGGCACTGGCAGTTGGGCACATGGATAGGACTTAGTTTTAGTGTAATCTCTGTATGAAATATATCATTGGATTTTTGAATAAAAACCTTCGTCAGAAACAGTATATTGTATAGAAAAACAGTATTAATACTGTATTTAAAACAAAGTTGAGCTATAATTGTGGCGATTGAACGCAATTTGTTATAATTTTGGGTTGAGTCGAGTGGGAATACCTGTCAAAGTCGGCAAAAATTAATGTGAAAATCGATAGAATTTAGAAAAACATAAGAATCATAATATTATTTATAGAATCCTTATTAGTGTAAAAATGCTGTTTCAAGATATAGTTATGATATCCAAAATGAGTCTCTTATGAGCGCCTACTTGTCATTTGGATGAGAAGGACACCAAATGTTTGTTCAAATATAGCTTAAAGCATATCAAACACTCCATGAGAGACACATCCAAAACAGTGATAATATTCTAACCACTAATCGATTATTGAAAATAATATATAATATGAAAGAAAGACCGGATTCTTGGCATTCAGCCATCTTATCAGTACATTATTGGGCGCCAACAGAGTCACCAAAATTCTTAGTCTTTTCATAAAATGATGTTTCAGTGAATGTAGTCACGAGGAGAGAGAGAGAGAGAGAGAGAGAGAGAGAGAGAGAGAGAGCGGATTCTGCGGCAAAATATTCTGTGCAAAGAATTCCGTATGATTTATGTGTTCAACAACTTATTAAAATGAGTCTTTTTATAATTCCATAGCTTTTAGATAC